ACCATAAGTTACTATAAGATATTGAATACAGTTCCCTGTGCTATACAATATGAACTTATTTATCTATTTTATATATATTAATATCTGCAAATCTCAAACTCCCAATTTATCCCTTCCTACCCCCTTCCCCCTCTGGGAACCATAAGTTTGTTTTCTATGTCTGTGAGTCTGTTTCTATTTTGCAAATAAGTTCGTTTGTTTCTTTTTTTTTTAGATTCCACATGAGAGTGATATTACATGGTATTTTTCATTCTCTTTCTGGTTTACTTCATTTAGAATGACAATCTCCAGGTCCATCCATGTTGCTGCAAATGGCATTATTTTATTCTTTTTTATGGCTGAATAGTATTCCATTATATAAATATAGCACGACTTCTTAATCCAGTCATCTGTTGATGGACATTTAGGTTGTTTTCGTGTCTTAGCTATTGTACACAGTGCTGCTATTAACATTGGGGTGTACGTATCTTTTTGAATTGTTTCCCTCTGGATATATGCCCAGGAGTGGGATTGCTGGATCATAGGGTAAGTCTATTTTTAGTGTTTTGAGGAATTTCCGTACTGTTTTCCATAACAGCTGCACCAAACTGCATTCCCACCAGCAGTGTAGGAGGGTTCCCTTTTCTCCACACCCTCTCCAGCATTTATCGTTTGTGGACTTTTGAATGATGGCCATTCTGACTGGTGTGAGGTGATACCTCATTGTCACAAGTGCTTTTTAAGCCATGACTTCAAGAAGTCAGTCATGAAGGAAACACTCTGGGACTCAGCAGAAGCAGCAGGACCCCTTTGCCAAGGCAGGTAACTCAATTCTCTCCAAACCACAGGCCTCTCTTAGGTCCTGCCCTAAGAATAAGCTCAGGACGGACACCCTGCAGGCAGCAGGATTATTTGTCCCAGCAGAACCTTTCCCCAGACCCCTCTCTGTTTCTCTTAGCCTTAGTAGATTGAGCTCAGTTATTTTCTTGTTGAGCCATTGAGTATGGAGCAAGCAGCACAGAGTGATGGAGAAAGGGGCATTGAGTCAAACTTCTGAAGGATTTTTCAGGGTAGAGACTCAGAGTCTTATGTTCTGGGATCCAGAGAGCCTAATCACTGTCCCTCAGGGCTGGTCTGGGCTCCGTGTTCAAAGTCATGGTTGTGTGAGGAGGATTCACTGCAATCTCTGCATCACCCACAGAGAAGGGAGAGCAGAAGCAGTTGGTGATGGAAACATGGCCTGTGTTTGCCTTCCTCCCTGTTTACTACCCAGCATCTGTTCTGTTCTCTTGGCCACGCTGTGCACAGGGATCCACCCCTCAGTGGACCTTCTCATCCTTCCCGACAGACCCTCCAGGCAACGGGTGGGAAGATGTGTTCTGCCAGGAGACAAACAGACACTTCCATTTCAGCTCCAGCCTTACATTATGTAAATGATCAATGTGTAGTTCCTAAACATCACCTTTGGTCTCTGAGACAGTAGAAGAGGGTGTTAGGGTACTAGTCCGTTCAGAGAGGAGCTGTTTGTGTAGTTGAAGATTTTCGATGACAGTGTCTTCTTGTTTCTTGTTGATTCCCAAGAGAAAGGCATGGCACTTGTGAGCACTAACTCTCATTTTATAGGACTTTTATTTTGAGATTTATATTGGCCTTCAAATTATGCATAAACCTGAAATTGTATGAAAATTTACTATGTGTATTTTTTTTCTGGGAAAGTTTGGCAACAGTTTGCATCAGATTCTTTGTATGTGCGTGAGACCAAAAAGTTGTTAATAAAAACAATAATACTGTCCTTTCACTTTCATTACCCCAATGTGGTAAGACATCTTCCCTTTCCGCTTTCTGCTACTTTCTCTCATAATTTTCTAACCATTAAAAAAATACTAATAAAAAACACTAACAAATATTTGTCCAGGGGTTTAGAATATCCAAAGCTAAAAAAAAAAAAACACCAAATATAAATACAAAACAGAAACAGACTCATAGACACAGAATACAAACTTGTGGTTGCCAAGGAGGCGGGGGGTGGGACGGGACAGACTGGGATCTCAGTGTCCTTTGAAAGCCCCCCTAAGACTGTGCGGGTAAGTGCTATGAACCAGCGCATTTTACAGAGGAGGAAACGGAGACCAGGGGGCAGGTAGATCGATGGCCCAGGGTGGACAGGATTCAACTCAGGTCTCTCTCTCTCTGAAGGTAATTCTCTCCTCACTCTGTGCAGAGCTGAGCTGGTACAGATGGTGCTACTCCATCAGTGGCCAGATGCCAAAAGATCGTGTGCCCCTAGAAGAAAGTCCCACCGAGTAATAGATCCTCAGTTTTTGGGGGGACAGAATGGTTGGCTTCATCTGAGGCAGCTTTCCTTTGACACATCTTTCTGGGGTATGTGTGTATTGTGGGAAGGTGGGTGTGAGGGGGCTGCCATTTTCAGAAGCGATTGAAGGGCTGGGGTAGGAAAATATTCTTCGGAAGGAAAAGAAGTCCTTCCCACCAGTTCTCAGGAATGTCCCCTACCCTAGCCAGCCTTCTCATTTTCATCTGTAAAGGGTCTTGCCTCAAAGGAGATTTGCAGTGAGGTTCAAACAGCCGCCCACTCGCATTTTTCGAGCCCACGGGCGGTTTCCTGCAGCGCGGTCTCTTGTGGCTGTAACCATATTCTGAACACACATCTCAGACAGTCCAGGAGTTCACATTTTTATGAAGTTTCTCATTTGCCACCTGTGTTCTTTTGGGATTGGCTTAACATTCCCCAGGCTGTGGAGAGCAGGCCGAGGGGGAGCTGTGCCGTGCTGATTTACAGCTCAAGGGCCTTGTCCTCTCTAATCTGGATCTCTAATCCCTAGGAATCCTGCCATGGTGTGTGCCCTCTCTCGGTCCCAGGGTCCCCAGCGACTTCCTGGCACAGACAGACGCAGGCCGCAGGACTCCCAACCCCCATGCTCCCCCTCTGCCCTCCGCCTCGCCTCGTTCCTGCTGGTGGATCTTGAGCCCCGTGTCCAAACACACAGAATCTGTCGCGTTATGTAAGTTTCCCTGTCAGCGAGCTGGGTGACTCAGCGGGAGGTGGTGCCCTGCTCTGTCCCAGCCTGGGGCAGCGTGTGAGCCCAGCGCCAGGTCTGTGGCTGGCTGGAGTGGAAAACAGGCCTGCTGATGGGCCGGCCGAGCACCCTGCGTGCCCAGGACGCCCGTGGGAACCCCCTGAGGGCTGCAGGGAGCTAGGCCCTGGGTGGAATTCTCCAGCTCCCAGCCCACTTCCTGCTTCCTCCTCCCTCACCTGGGGCTTCACCTGGGGCTGAAGGTCACAGAAGCTTCACTCTGATTCCCCACCTTCTGGGCCCCTGTTAAGGACTGAATGCTTGTATCCCTCCAAATTTCTTAGGAGGTGGGGCCTTTGGGAGATGACTAAGTTTATCTTTTTTTTTTTTTGTGGGTCGTTTGTTTGTTTGTTTGTTTATCTTTAATAGAGATACTGGGGATTGAACCCAGGACCTCATGCATCCTAAGCATGTGCTCTACCACTTGAGCTATACCCTCCTTCCCAAGACAACTAAGTTTAGACGAGGTCATGAAGGCTGAGCCTCCCTCTCCTTATCTGTGAGGACACAGCAAGAAGGTGGCCATCTGAAAGCCGGGAAGAGGGCCCTTCCCAGAGCCCCACCACGCTGGCACCCTCATCTCGGACTTCTAGCCTCCAGGACAATGAGAAAATTAGTCTCTGTGGTATAAGCCACGGAGTTTGTAGGATTTTGTTACGGTGGCCTGAGCTAAGACAGTCCCGCTGACCTGAGCCCTTACCTCTGGGATCTATCAAGGCTCAGGCAGGAAGCGATGGTGCAAGTGGATGCACCCTTGGGTGCAGCTCGCGTGGACCCAGGCCCTCTCTCTCTCCTCTGCCCCAGGTCCCGCACAGAGGAGGAAACCCACTGGGAACACGGGTTATGAAGAGGACAGACTTTGGCTGATTTTGTTCTTGGGTCTGATTCTCCCTCATTTCCCTTTCCCACAGGCATGTCGCTGAGTTTTCTTTCCTCTCCAGGACAGGGACACGCGGCTGGCATCCTGCTAACTGTTGCACAAGGAGCCGGAGAACTCAGATTCTAGGACAGGTTTTGTCGCTAACCAGGTGTTCAGGCTCAGACAGCTCACTTTTTCTCTCTGTGCCCCGGGACTCATCTGAGGGGCACCTGCCTCAGAACTGTTACACGTTCATTAATAAAAACTGTGTGCCGGCTCTTCCAGTGCTGGGATACAGTGCCAAACAAGACAGCTGTGATCCTGCCCTCCTGGAGCCCGCGTTCCAGAGTGAGGGGACGACAAGGAACTAGGTAAATTAGGTAATCGCTGACCGGATCGAGTGCTCTGCGGGAGACAAACAGAATGATGCAAGAGAGAGCTCCTGGGAGGAGCTGACATTTATTTAAAAGCCTCCACCTGCAGACTGAGAAGGAGCCAGCCCAGTCGCTGGGGAAGAACTGCCTTCCAGGCAGAGTTCTGCGCTAAAAAGACCCCCCAAAAAACCAAAAAATGCTTTGCAAACTGTACAGTGCAACACAGGTATCAAGTTTAATAGGAGTTAAACCGCCTTCGTTCTCTGTGGCTTCGCTGCCGCACATTCCTTGATCAAAGCCTGGAGTTGGCACCACTGGGCGGTGTCTGGAAAGCAGTGCTGGGACAACTTAAGTCACAGAGTGTGGTGGGAAGAGGGGCAGACCAAGAGTTCTGCTCTCTTTGAGGACATGACGATCCCATCTCTATGGGGAGGCTCTTCTCCTCCCACAGCCTCATGTCCCCAGATACTTCTGTCCTTTGTCATCCTTCTTGCAACATCCAGCTGGCATTCGTGGGGCACCTGCTGAGACAGGGATCCTCCCCTCTCCCGAGCAGGACCTCGGGCCTCTCGGGGGCCACGCCCCCCAACCTGCCCATGTTTGGGTCCATGTTGGCTGCCGTCCATTCTGCGTGTTATTTTGCTGTCCAGCCTGATCCCCGTGGGGAGCCAGAGGAGCGCCACGCGTGCTGGGATTGTACATGGGTGCCCTCTGCCACTCAGAGGAGACATTTCGGGGCCAGAATGTTTCCACATGTGTCTTCTCTCTCTGGACAAATATCCAGAGGCGTGTGGAGCGCTCATGCCGTGCATCTCCCTCAGGGAACCCCCGCAGCAAAGTGCCCCAACTGACCAGCCGAGCCAGCCTCGGCACAGTGGGCACAGCGGGGGCTGCTGCATCATGCTCTTGCTGGGGACATGTCCCCTCGGAGCCAGCATTGCTGGACAGAGGACCACAATGTCGGGGTCTCCACCTGCTAAGCATGGGGCCCACGCGGCAGTTCAGTGCCCCCCTGGTGCTAACACCCTACTGCTGTGTGACTTTAGGGGGCTGAAGGCTTTGAGACTTCAGCAGACATCAGAATTCTCTAAGGGCTTGTGAAGCACAGCGCCTTAGACCTGCTCAATCCGTAGCTCATGGAGCGCGGGGGCAGGAACTTGTGTTTTACCAGGCACTGAAGAGGGATTCTTGTGTTCCGCTTCCTTCCTTCCTTCCTTCCTTCTCCTTTCTTTCTTTCTCCTTTCTTCCTTCTTTCCTTTCTTTCTTCTTCCTTCCTTCCTTTCTCCTTTCTTCCTTCTTTCCTTTCTTCCTTCTTCCTTCCTTCCTTTCTCCTTTCTTCCTTCTTTCCTTTCTTCCTTCTTCCTTCCTTCCTTTCTCCTTTCTTCCTTCTTTCCTTTTTCCTTCCTTCCTTCCTTCCTTCCTTCCTTTCTTTCTTTCTTTTTTTAATGGAGGTACTGGGGATTGAACCCAGAACCTCATTCATGCTAAGCACTGAACTATATCCCTCCCCCCTGAATAATGATTCTGATTGCAAGTAAACTGCATTTGAGGAACCGTAGTTGTTTAAAGTGATGATTCAGTTCATTCCCTCCTTAAAGGACTAAAGGTTCCTTGGGAAGCCTTGAAGCCAGTTTGCCAGATGGGATTTCTAGAGGCAGCACAGTAAGCATGCGTCCTCTGAGGTGGCCCTGACACGTCACGCAGCGTGGGGCCCAGAGTGTGTGCTCAGCTGGTTGAATGGATGAAGGGCCCAGAGACTCAGAGGGATGGGAAGGAGAGTTGGGGGTGGGCTGTTAATTACTAGTCTGCGCTACCAGAATGCAAGTCCCAGAAAAGCGGGGGCTGTATTCTTAATTATTCCCAGGGGCTGACACATACTGAAAACGCTAAATGAATTAATGACACAACCCACTTTTCTCTCCCTTGGGAAAGAATGTCTGAAAGCCTGTAGAGGTAGATCTACCATGTCTGAAAGAATTCCCTAATTTCCCAAATATCTGATTTAAACGGACGCCCATAGAATCAGATATTGATTCCCATAGAATCAGTACTGTGTGATTAAAAACCAAATTCAGGTTAGGACATCAAGGTATTTTTAATACCCAGTGACATGGCAAATGCATCAACTGGGCATAATAGAGTCATGCAATTTCTATTGTAAATGAGAAAAGATGGACTAATTGATTTCCCTGGCTTCACCTTAAACATCGGGGCCAGAAGAGCTAGGCCATTAGGAAATTATACTGAATAACAAACCTCAATAAAAGTGAAGAAAATGCAAATTAGTGACAATGGAAAACCATTTTAGACCCACCAGGTGGGCAAAACTTTAAACGTCTGACAATAGCAAGTGTTGGCAAGGATAAGGTATGATAGAAATTGTAGTTGACTGCAGGTGGTTGACCACTGGGGAAGAAGAGCGGGCATCCTCCAGCAAAGTTGTGAACATGCTTTTATGTTGTGTGACTCAGCATGTCCATCTCTAGGGAGTTACTCCATTCTTGCACATGTACAAGAGACATATCTAAGAATGCTCATGGCAGCACTGTCTTATATGGCAACACCTGAAACAAGCAACTCAAATGCACGTCAATGGTGGCAGAATAAAGAAACCATTAAGCAGATACAATGACAAACTCTGCAGCGGTGACAAACTATTCAGAGCAGTGCAAATCAATGGACTACAGTTGTGCAATGACATAAATGTAACTCAATAATTAGTATTAATTGAAAAAAGCCAAGTCGCATTACATTGTGATTACCTTATTTAAAGGCCAATAACAGAACGAACAGAATAGGTATCAAATTTGGGCAAAACTTTGTGTTCTAGGCATCTTTGTGGCTTCTTTTCTTGGAATTCTCTTCCCTGTTTTAGTTAACTTGAGATCTTCTCAGTTTTTCCTCAAGATAAAACTTAAGTCACTTCCTCTATGATGCCTTCCCCACAGGCTCCAAGTAAAGTTATTGCACGACCCCCCACCCCTTCCTGACATAGCTTTCTTTTGCACAAACACTATTACAGAGCTTGTCACATCATAGTGCCAATATTGGCAGTGTCCAAGCCAGTTGTGTGCTGGTGACTGGTTGCTAATTGGCTCTCCATGAGTCTTGGCTTTGCTTTGCTTGCTTGCTTGCTTCCTCCCTTCCTTTCATCCTTTCTTTTCTTTTCTTTTGTTTTTTTCTTTTCTTTTCTTCTTTCTTTCTTTCTAAGTTTTATTGTTATAAAGGGTGTACAGCACATAATTTATAAATAATAACATGTACAATCTCTGTATGTGAATTCTATGTAGCCAAATTGAATCTCACAGAATGATTTTTATTTTCTGCAAAATCTTGAATGTATAGCCAGTCTTACATTAATTAATAACAAAAGTTACTAATTACTTTTTCTAATAATTAATAAGAAAAAGAATTTCATTTGTTTGTGGATGACTTTGCTGAAATGGATGATAACTTCTGAGTACTGGAAGAACATTTCCTCAATTTTCTGTGCCATTTACAATGTAACAGCTACAGACTTGAGACACTTCGAGTGTTTATATATATTCTTCACATTTTTCTCCATCACCTAAGTCGGTTTTTAATTTTGTTTTTTTTTTTAGGGGGTAATTAGGTTTATTTATTTATTTTTAACAGAAGTACTGGGGATTGAACCCAGGACCTCGTGCATGTTAAGTATATACTCTACCGCTTGAGCTATGCCGTCCTCCCTCATCGCTTAAGCCTGGAGGTCAACTATACAAGAAATCAAGCACTGGTTTGTAGTGTTTGCCGATTCCCATGGTGTAAATTCTTCCACCATGGAAAATTGGGGGTTTTAAGGTGATACTGAATGAGGAGGTGGAAAGAGATGCGTGGGAGCACAGCATTATGCGGTACTTGTACCATATGGACAAGGTGCACGTAAGTCATCGCTGGCTCTTAAAATCCCCCAATATGTCACTACTAACATTCGCACGGCGTTTGTGTGTACTCGTCAGCTCCAGTAAGTGTCCGTGCATGGCTCCCAACCGAAACGGAGTTCCTGTGTGCTGCGGACATGCCTCAGTATTTTTGTCTCTCAGTGACTGTCATAGTACACGCAACATAAGAGGCATTTAATAAACTTTGATCTAATGAGTGAATGAGCCCAAACATTGCAGGGCATTTTGCAAAAGTTCTGGGGGTGTAAGTGGCTTGGTTCTGGTCACTCAACGCCTGGGACTTCTGAGTCTCCTTTATGTTAAAGGTCTCCCAGATCAGGTAACCGTTCTCATATGTTCACACCCTGAGAACAGGTCAGAGAACGGGTCGGGTGTACCCCTGACTTATATGACAGGGGGAAGGGTTTGTCCCTGTTGTAACTGACAACCAGAAGACTGCAGGAAGAACTCAGGACTCTACCTGGAAGGAGAATGTGTAAGATATAAGTTTAAAAGGCACGCTGGGTGCCATGTGCTGAAAAGTGTGTGTGTGAGAAGCAGAGCTGAAGGGGAGGGGGGCTGGGGTGGTGCCACTTGAACTTCCTCTTGTGGTTTTGAAATACAGCATACAAGGCGTTCCCCCTACTGGTCTACTGTCCTCGTGATCAAATTGCATGTTCGGCTTTAGTGCGCATTGAAAGGGGTTATTTAACCTCAGCACACCATAGCAAGAACTAAGGGACATAGTTTTTTCCTAGAAGAGACCAATCAGAAATTAAAGACGATGTTTTGGACATTTTGTCTGTTTTAAGGGTCAGACCCAGGAGAAAATCAATAGCTGAACACATCCTTGGTTCTTGCAATGCACCCAAAACAGACACCAGCCTACGTGACTCCCCTCGTGAGCTCCCAGTGCTGTCAGAGTAGAATTTAACTGCAGCCTGACTGCAGCTGACTGTGCCAAACCCCTAATGTATTTCTACCTCTTCGCCCTCTTTCTTGTCCTCTCGTACCCCAGGCTCTTTCTCTCCTTGGAGGCTTTGCGCTGCCCCTGCTGTCCACGTAGTTCTTCTGCTGATTCCTTAAAAAGATGGCTTGTTTTCATGCTTCAGATCTCAGCTCAGATGTCACCAACTCAGAGAAACCCTTGCTGACCCCAGTCATCCCCGCCTCGCTTCTTCTGCCTACCAGCCTGTTTATTTCCTCCGTCACCCACATAGCAATCTCTAACTTTCTTGTCTCTTTACTTGTTTATCGCTGGCTCTCGCATTAATGTACGTTCCTTCTGGTGAAGGACCTTGTCTGTCTTGAATATGACTCTAGCCTCAGCCTTCAGCAAATACTTGTAGAAAAAGTGCATGAAAGTGTTGAAGAGGTTCCCTTAAGACAGGGCTTCTCAAACTTCAGCATGTAAGGGAATCAGCTGAAAGACTTTTTAACACAAGATTGCTTGACCTTGATTCCCAGAGTTTCTGATTCTGGATGTCTGGATGAGCTGGGGCGTTTCCAACAAGTTTCCAAGCGGTGCTGTTGTTGCTGGTCCAGGGACCGTGCT